CCAGTTCTCGCTTCAACTCTCGGAAACGGTCAATGGAATGCATGAATTTACGTGCTTACGCGTCATCCTTGGAAGCATTAGCAGCTATGGCGTCGACAGCTCTGATCAATGTGTATTTCTTCCCTGTATCAAGAGATTTCAGCGTGAAGCTCCTGCCCTGAGAAGAAGATCTGTTGATTAGAATTGTTTCCTACGTTTTCTGAGCTTAGATCAGCATGAGAAAGTAGAGGAAGGAAGAAGATGGAATCCGACCTGTATCTGCTTGTTGTTGGTGGAAGTAATGGTCTGTTTGAAGTCCCTGTCGATGGTGCTGGCGGCCACGGTGATCACCCAAGGGGCGGCGTTGTTCACGACCCCTAAAAGGAAAGGGCCGCTGTTGCCGGCTGAGCACACCACGGTGATGCCTTGGGCAACAGCGTGGAACGCACCGATCGCGGAGCTGTCGCTGAAGTAATCCACGCTTCACGGGCCGCCTCCGAGAGAGACGGAGATGACGTCGACGCTGTCTTGGATGGCGGCGTCGAAGGACGCGAGCAAGTCGGCGCCGTTGCACTGACCACTGCAGCTGGCGGTTGGGCTCGTCGCACAGGTTCCAGCACACTTTGGGCCGTTTCCTTCGCATTGGTCGTTGAGAATTGATTCATAACAATTATCTAGGTAGTTATCATATTCTAGATAGTTATAATCATATGTTAATAAGTGGCTCATGATATAGAAGCTATATGATAGTTCCTATACCTAACTCAATCATAAGTGATATGGTGGAGTAAGATAGTTCCCACTAGGTCCTAAAAATAGGATTATAGTTCATGAAATAAGATAAGGAGAATACACTTGAGAATATTTTGTAAGTGTTCTATGTCAATTCTCTTATTTTAAATACTACATCAATTTTCTTGATCGAAAAGATTATTTTAATTGCATCGTAGTATTTTATTTTTATTGTTTCCTGGCCCCTCCATCCCAACATTTATGGTATCAAAGTCAAGTTTCAATCTGAACTGGGCATTATGGCTTTCAATGATAATTCTATGTCTCAACCCCTTATTCTCATCTTCTCGGACAAATGCTATGAATTTTGGAGTATCAAGATAAGGCTCTATTCAAGCCTCAAGATCTTTGGGACTTAATAGAGAATGGATATACAGATCCAAATAAAGAAATCAGGTCGAGGGAGAATAGAAATAATGACTTAAAGGCATTGTTCTTCATATTATATATATTATATATATATATATATATATATATATATATATATATATATATATATATTGTGATGTCCATTGATATATGCAATAGGAATCGAATTGTAATGAGATCATGATAATGAGATCGATTCACTTTTAAACACAGACCATAAATAATCTCAATCATTAGTTATTCGAGAGGGACATCGAGATAACTAGACAGATTGATGTACTATATACTCATATATATAATAGAGACGGTTAGTCTCATAGCTTCTCGTGTGGGGATACTAGGGATATAGTACAGGTACTCATTGGAGAATGAGTTCAATGATTGATTCACTCCCAGAATGCTGGATGGTTGATGGTAACTTATTATCAGATAACGATTATGTCATCTCAATGGTGTATCTGATTCATAGACTTGAGATACTAAATATATCTTGTATGAGTACTCCATTCTTTCATACCATATTTATACGTATGGAAGTTTCAGATCTAATACAGTTGACGATCGAGAGTGACAACTAACCTTATGAGGGCTATTGAGTATCGATAGAGGATCATCCACCCTTGATATCATAAGAGGAATATCTCATGTATTTTTAGGTAGATAAATCCCTAGCCAAGATCATTCGGATTAAGAGAGAAAGAGTTCTCCGAAAGAATCCGATTAGAGCGAGAATCAAGTAGAAACTGTATGGGCTTGACAGCACCATGCGTGGTATGCAATCTCTGGGATATTAGATGGATGAGGGATTACAAATACACAATAATTGAGGATAAATAGGTTCAAAAGATTGAATTCTCTTGTATCGTCTAGGGATTGCGGCATAGTGACATAGTACGTTCACAATTGATAAGTCTAGTGAATTATTATTGAGATAATAATTAACTGAGCTAGAAGGATGTTCTAATAGGTATGACTCATGACTAGCTTGATATTAGGCCTAGAGGGTCACACACATATGGTAGATGTTACGACGAGTAGAGGTTCGGATATGAGATATTTATTAGAACCCCTGTCTTATTGGATATCCAAGAAGCCTCTAAATTATTGGATCCTATGGATGAGATACAATAAGAGTCAATGAGAGATTATTGGGTAGAGACCTATTAATCTAAGAGGCATGAGTCGTTGGATGAAGATCCAGTACTCAATATGGTAGGATCCATTAGGGTTAAGTTGATAGGGGACCTCTATATATATGAGAGAACCAAAGGGCCATAAGCTATACCTTTTTTGCTGCCACCTCCTATTCTCCTCTCCCCTCCTCCTCGACTAACAAGGGGTGTGTGGAGATTTGAGTAGTGACTTGAGGAGTGTCTTCACAGCCCCTATCGTATGGATCATGGCTAGAGAGGAGGATGGTTGACTTCCTTCATCCTCTACCATAGATCTATAAGAATTTAAGGCTATACGATCTCTCTAGGTAACACAACTATCTCTCACGTAGTTTTTGGTTCCATGGGTTTTTATGCACCAATCTTTACATGACAATGAAACATTATTTTCTGCGAAAAAATTTGAGATTTTTCTTTTTGTTCTTTCACTGAGATGTCGCCCCTATATTTTCCAACACCTCGGGCGAGCAAACCTGCCCTTGAGCTACGCACCATGACTATAAGACCCGAGCTTACACTTGACCATACAAACCCACTCCTGAGTCATGCACCTCGGCTAGAAGATCCGATGCTTGTACCTCGGGCAAGCAAACCTACTCCCTAGCCATGCATCTCAGTAAGAAGACCCAAGGTCTGCATCTTGACCGAGCAAACCCACTCCTAAGCCATGCATCTCTGCAATAAGACCCAAGACCTACACTTCGACCGAACCTGCTCTTGAGCTATACACCTTGGCCAAAAGACCCGAGGCTTGCACCTCAACCGAGCAAACCTGCTCCCGAGTTGTGCACCTTGGCAAGAAGACTCAAGGCCTACACCTCGACCGAGCAAACTCACTCCCAAGCCATGCACCTCTGCAAGAAGAGTTGAGGCCTACGCCTTATTCGAGCAAACTTGCTCCTGAGCTATGCACCTTGGCCATAAGACCTAAGTCCTACATCTCGACCGAGAAAATATGCTCCTGAGCCATGCACCTTAGCAAGAAGGCTTGAGGCATACACCTCGCCCGAGCAAACTCACTCATGAGCCATTCACCTCGATAAGAAGACCCCAGGCCTACATCTCGATTGAGCAAACCTACTTTCGAGCCAAGCACCTCGATAAGAAGACCCCAGGCCTACACCTCAACTGAGTAAACCCACTCCCGAGCCATACACATCGACAAGAAGACCCGAGGCCTATACCTTAGCTAAGCAAACCCACTCTCGAGCCATGCACCTCAGTAAGAAGACTTGAGGCCCACGCCTCGACTAAGTAAACTCGCTCTTAAGTTATGCACCTCATCAAGAAGACTTAAGGTCATGCGCCCTGTCTAGAAGACCTGCTACAGCGGACCTGTGCTTGAGCCACGCAAGCACTCACCTATGAGAATCCTTCGAAAACTCTGTTCAAAGTTCCAAAGGATTCCCTTCCGGGGGGGGGGATGAATGAAAGGGATAATCCTATCCCTTCCTAGCTCCTCAGCCACGTGAGTGAACACCTAAGCAAAACTCTAGGTCACTAGCTCCTCGCAAGACACTACATTATCCAACCTAGGTTCAAGAAGTGGCCATGCCAAGACCTGCTCTGCATTGATGGCCGGTGGCATGGCCCAACCTTACCTGTCCTTCTAGCCAGACAAAGGAAGAGAAGGTCATACCTGGCCTAAATAAAAGAAGGAAGGGAGCCTAACCATAGGCATGGCCTTGAGTTAATCAATTAAACTCAATCGAATTAAATTTTTTTAAATTAAAATTAATTTATTTTGATTCAAATTTATTAATCAAACAAAAATTTAAATTGAGAATTAGATTAAAATTTAAATTAAAACAATGCGAAAAGGTTGATAATTAGGCTACTATTGATTAATCAAAATTAAAACTAGTTTAGTTCGATTCAAATTAATTAATTTTTTTTAAAAAAAATATTAAAATCGAAACATTTGATTAATCAAATTATTTCTATAGCTATCAAAACCAAGATACAAATTTAAAATTGATTAAACAAATTATTTCTATAGCTTTTAAAATCAAACTATTGGTGAATAAATTCAGATCGAATCGACTTTCAAATGGTTCAAATTCAGTTTTGAATACCCATTGTTTTGATTAAATCATAATTAATTATATTTTAAATTTTAGTAAATTTAAAATTAAAATTAAAAATAATGATAAAAATAAAAATTAGGTTACTTCAATCTTAGTTTTAGGTAGGGGTGTTAATTAATTCAAATTATTTTTTAATTTAAATCAATATTATTTTAAATAGATTCAAAATAAATTAATCTGCTTCAAGTAATCTGCCGAACTCAATTGAATTAATATCTTCTAAATTAAAACTAATTAAGTTCGATTCAAATTGATTAATCAACTTTGAATTGGTTCAAATTTAGTTTTAATTCAATTTTATTTTTTAATTCGATTTGAACACTTATCAAGTTAGTGAAAGACTAATATAAACAATTTTAACAAATCTTAAAATTAAATTAAATTTAAATTTGAAATTAAAATAAAAAATATTAAATGTTTAGGTTCATAGCAGAATGGTAAAGCATTCGATTGCAGATCCAATAGTTATCGATTCAAATCAGATTGGTCTCTTAATTAATTATATTTAAATTTTAATAAAATTTAAATTATGAGAAAAAGTTGATAATTTAAACTGGTTGAAATTATAAGCATCCGAAGAGCGCGTCGGGAATGCCCATTTCCTAATTCTCTCTCTCTCTCTCCTATCGCGTCGATCTTCGAGGCGAGACCGTCATTTTTTGTGTACATTAATTCAGTCGTAGCGAGATTTCGATGCGTAAAACGGTGACGGTAGATGATCCACCTCTTTCCCATCTTTCTCATGATTCCCAAGAACATTTCTCCTTCCAATTCCAACTCGACGCTGCCTTGTGTGGTTTCGCTTTATTCTCGCGCCCTTGCCTTTTTTCCCCGGCCGATATCGGGTGCGAAGGCAAGCAAATTAGGGTTCTAGAGTCCCCCAATTACTGTTTCATTTTGATTTTATTCTTTCATTTTGATCGTCTCATTAAGATTCCAATTACTTTTTTTATTATTATTTTTCTACTGCTAAAAAGTTGGATTTCCCTCCCCTCTATTCATGTGAAATCTTTCTGTCGTTATATCTTGTTTATTCTATCCATTCGTCTTTATGCTTGGAATCCAATTTGTTGTACGTAATCGATTAGTGGTTGGGTTGAATTGTTATTCCTTCCTACATATTCTTTAAAATGAAGCTTTTTGTTCACGTCATTGAGGCTCGTGGTCTTCCTGTAATAAATATGAATGGGTCATGTGATCCCTACGTGAGATTGCAGCTTGGCGGTCGTAGGTCGAAAACTAAGGTCATCAAAAAGAACTTGAACCCTTTTTGGGATGAAAAGTTCAGCTTCCTTGTCGGGGAACTCAGTGAAGAGCTTATTGTCTCAGTTCTCAACGAAGATAAGTACTTTAATAATGATTTCTTGGGGAAGGTGAAGGTGTCATTGTTGAAGGTCTTGGACGCTGAAAACCTATCCCTGGGGACGGCCTGGTACCAGCTGCAACCCAAGAATAAGAAGTCGAAGAACAAAAAAAGGGGTAATATGCCGATTATCCTTCTCTGTTCTATGGATGTTATTCTCTAGCTGGAATTATTTCAGTTTAGTTAGCTCCAGCTTTCCCTCTCCAGATCATGTCTCTCCTCCATTTCTTGGCTTAGATATGGAGTCTCTGGTTCCTGGTACAGGTTCCAACATGTGGGGCCCTGGATATTAATTCTTTTTCACTTGTTTAGTTGTATGATTTTAGTTTCTTTAAAAGCTCAGATGTTCTTGATAGCTTGTAACCGTGTCAAGTCTCTATATCGTAGATGAATGAAAAGAGGCAAATATTAGGCAACCAAAGTTGCGAATGATATATAGTGAAAATGGATCATGAAATGGTTTTTGTGAATTCCAGATACAAATGTTCTTTCTTTACTGAACACCCGTAACTGTACTAGTTGTTATTGCACTTGTTTAGTCAAACATATGCACTAAGTAATCAAGTAACTATTATCTGTTTATCTTGCATTTAAAATGAAACGCTCGTAGATCAACAATTAAAAATTGATCTCCATTTACAGTTTCAATTGGCAAATTAGATTTAGTTTTAGCAAGTTCAGCAGCACATGCTCCAGCTTTGGTTGTTTTGTTAGAAGAAAAATAATAGAACATGGGAAGGATAACCCGACACATGCAGATGTTAGTGTCTGGTAGTTCTCTAATCTTCATTGTATTGATAAGATTAAGTGTATAAACGGTGTCATTTAAGCTTTCCTGGCTCATCTCAAAACATAATGATTTTCACTCGATGTCATTATGATCAGATAGAAATTTGTACCATGACGTAGTTCTTTTAGCGCAGGAGGCATATGCATGCAATATTTAATGGTACTAATTATTTAATTTGTCCCACTTGTAGGGGAAATTTGTCTCACCATACAATTGTCCCCAAGAAATACTATCTTAGATGAATCTTCTATTGTCTCACAAGCACCTTCTAGTGATCTTGCATCAAGTTCGGAAACCTCCCAACCGATAAGGGAAGCGCCTTTGTGTACTTCTTCTGGTGGCAAAATTGATTCATCTTCTTTGATGGATCTTGAAGAAACTAGAGCTACCAAGGAAAATAAGTCAAACACAACATCTTTTGTTGAACTATTGTCTCAGATGTTCCGTGGGAAGAATGCAGAATCTGTTCCTTTAGCTGAAAATAGGGACCTTGATTCGTTAGAACAGTCAGAAGGGACATCTATGAAAGCGGATGTATGTGCTGACTCAGCTGACAATGTACCATGTGAGAACAAATTCGAGGAACTACTGGAAACTATGGCCTCAAAATGTCTTGGGTCTGATATGCCTGGGCATCTACCCGGTGGAATATTACTGGATCAATCTTATGCTATTGCACCAGGTGATCTGAACTCCCTTCTTTTTTCACCAGATTCAATTGTTAGGAGATCTTTTGCAG